TCAGCCTTGCTGTGCCACCTACCTGGAGCTGCCCGTGGTAAGTGCTTCCGGGCGGGAGGCCCACACTAACTCCCAGGACCTTCTTGTAGCCAACACTCCATGTCCCCACTCCTGCACTCCAGCCCTCTGCAGAGCCAGCACTCTGCACCCCCCCTGAACCTCTCCCCCAGCTCTGCCCCTCCTCCCATAGTCAGCACCCCACTCCTCTTCTAGGCCCCCGCCTCAGCCCAGTAGCAGTTTGGGAGGGAGACAGGGAGACAGAGAGGGTGGAGTGGGGTTTTGGGAAGGGGCAGGTTAGATTTGCCCTTAAATACAAATAGTTATCTTGGGTAAAAAAAGGTTGGAGAACACTGCCTGACTTTGTAAAAAAAAAAAAAACTTCCCTTTTTTTAGTAGTTTATATGTGTTTGCTTTTCTAATCTGTGCTGCTGCCCAATTGTCTACTTCAGTTCCAAATGTAATGTGCATTTGGACATTCAGTTCGTAAGAGAAAGAGAGAGAGTGTAAATATTTGGGTAAAATTTTCTAATTTGAAAATGTTAATATAACTTTCAAGTTTGAAAAAAAAATGGAAAAACGTTGAAACGTTCATTTAATTCTCCATACATCCTTCCATTCTTTGACCAGCAGCAGAGCTTTTCACATTCTGAACTTCATAATTTAGGGAATATTTACACATTTTAAAAGAAGGCGACAAGATTTTTTTTCTATAGCCATAAATGTCCCCTTTATTTATAACCAGTTCCTGTTTGCACCTTGTTATCCCTCTATCCCCATGTGTGCGCACCCATCTCTCTGCCCATCTAATTGTCTCTCTCTTACAGACAGGAGCTTTGCAGTAACATGATGTTCACCAGCTAGTAGAAGAGGCTCCACAATGGAATTCCAGAGGGATAGGACAGTCCAGCCTATTCGCCGATGGAGCCGCACAAATAAACAAGGGCCAGTGGCTACTCACCCCACATCCCCAGCGCTATCACAGCGATCACTAGGACAATGTTTCCAATCCATCCGACCCACAGCGCTGTGCGGTGCCACCGGGGACTCTGGGCACCTGCAAGAACCAACTTCAGGTGAGAGAAAATCAGGGTCTGGGGTATGAAATATTGATTCAAAGAAAAATACGGCCCCGAACTCACAGTGTGGATAGAATCCTATGCCCGTATGGAGTTTGTTAAATGACTGGGGCCTATCCGTTCACGTGCTCATCTTGTTTTTCTCTGTAGACCCATCTGGCATGGCTGGAGAGCTGCCAGTTTTTTATAAAGGCAACAGGGGTGAATTTTTGGCCACTTTCTGGAATATTGGCACTTTCTCCAATCTTTTTACATTTCCCACATTTTAAAATGAAACTTTCCCCCTCTTTTTTTAATCCCTCACCATATTTATTCCTTGTTTTTCAGATTCTCTTTCTGTTTGAACATATTGTTCTTAACTATTGCCTTGTGTTTAGTGTATGTAGTGTCAATTTGCATACCCTGGCAG